GTATATATATATATATATATGTGTGTGTGTGTGTATATATATCTATCTAGCTATATATATATATATGTGTGTGTGTATATATCTATATAGCTATATATATATATATATATATATATAGATATAGATATATATAAACCTGATTTTCTTAGCTTTTTTTGTAACCACTATTACACAGTGTATATCACAACAAAGTATGCAGGATCACTATTGTTGCAAAATCCTCTTTAAATTTCAAATACTGTACTCATTTACAGATTTCGGTTGTAATACTTCAAGTTTATAATTTATTTTTCTGCAACATAAAAGTGACTGAGATCTCAATAACTTCACAAGTGCCACAAAACTGAGCTAAAAATTTCCATTTAGAATAACAAGAAAAGAGAATTTACTGAAATTGTATTCAGTAACAAATGTTTTCATCAATCAAAAAAGCAAGTTAGTTTGTTTCTAGTGTGAGTAAATACTTTATGAATGCTCTAAAACTAAATGTTGAACTTGTGTTGCTGAACTTCAGTTGAGCTCAAAAACAAACAAGGCAAAATGAAAAGTGCACAGTTTGAGGGTGTGTGCTGAACAGGCCTTAATCAAAAACTAAATCTTTGGTAACAAGATGGTTTCTGTTGACAAGCTTTTGTTTTACAGTTTCATAAATTATTCCAATCCAGCCGAGTGCTCATGAAATTAAGGCAGAATTTTAACATCTGGAAAATGCAACGATAAAAACAAAACTACTGAAGTATGAAGAATTCCCGTTCCATCTTTTTATAGGCACAAAGACAGATTTTGGATTAATTTTTTTAACTTTAATTTCTAATAGTTGGACTTCTCTCTTCTCAGTCCCATTCCTCGTCATCTCTGTAGGGGTTGTCTTCTCTGGGCGGCTCCTGGAACCGGATGTTAGCCAGCATGTCCCTCATCGCCGCCATCAAACGGTTTACTTCTTGGTTCAGCTCCTGGCCAGCTCGAGCCACCTCCATCTCATCCTCCTGCCTCGCTCCACCCTTGGGATAAAATTACATATTAAATAATATGTAAAATCTTTGTCCCTGCTCGAATATCGTCTTGTGTCAAATTCCTTCATTGTAGGACACGGCTAACAAAAGCCAGACAAATACTGATATACGGTAAATCATTTGGTTTCTAAAATTTTATTTTCTGTCGTTTTTTTTTTTTTTTACAAATATTTTGAACACTAACATATTTCTGGTTTTAAATTATCAACTGAAAGAAATGATAAAACTTGATGAAACCCAGTTCACCTTTAACTTCCCACGTACCGTATGTTATTCTTAAAATAAAACCAAGAGGGGTTTTTTCCATCTTCCCCTAACTATATTTCTTTTATCTACATTGCAATCTCTTCCTCTCCATAAGTTGATCATTTTATCAGGAAGGATGGAAGTATCCAGATGGACACATGCTCAGGGCACATCTGCTAACATAAAGCACGTCCAGCTAACCCACAGATGTTCATGGGTCTGTGTGAGTGACTTGAAACATTTCTCCTAAAGTGGCAGACGACTTCAAGAACAATGATAAGATTCATAAAATACATCATAAAGGACGAGGCGGGTACGGAGCATGGATGGATGGATACATGGATGTTTATGATATCCTGAATACACATCACAGTTTATTACATTCATGTTTAAACTTATTTAAAGATAAATGAGTCATTTATCCATTCACCTAATATTGTTTTTTAAAAGGAGCACAAACTTGAGCAAGTAATTCTCTGCAAAATGTTGAGACACTTTGCTTTTTTATTTATGGGATTCTCAAAGTAAAGAAATGATGCGATATTACTTGTTTTGTATTCAAATCAAATGCTTGAGCCTCTATCACTAAATTGTTAAAGTACTAAATTAAAGTATTTATTTACAGCATTTGTCTTTTCTTTGACTGTGCAGTTGATTTAAGTCAGCTCTCGGGACATCTGGTGTTGGAGTTGTGTATTTAGGTTGTGCGTCTGCTGGAGCGCAGTGGAAATGTGGCAGCTTAACGAGCACAAACTGATCAAAATGACGTGCACTGTGGCAGATCTACAACCGTCCGGACACCCTGGAACGAGCGGCCGATTGGAGAACGATGTCCAGGCTGCACTCCATCTTTATTAATGCTGATCACCCCCTTCAGTGGTGTGGTCAGACAGAAAGACTGACCAGCAGAAAGAGTTCCACTGAACACCACAGGGAATCCTTCTCCCCCCAGGAGACCAGAACTCCTCCCCCATCACCCACTCACTTTATAAATGCTTTCACAATAAATCCTTGATATTAGGTTCAATAATTCATGTTGATGCCGTTTACTGGTGCCAACTGTTTATGTGCATCAACTATTAAGAGAGAACACACCCCTGAGCAACATTTAGATCACATTTAGTCTAATCTTTGTCCTGTACACAACTTATTTATTAAGAATATTTTATGTTTTATTTTATTTTTTTTTACCTTTTCAGTTTTATTCTGCACACCCAAATTTGAACCGTTTCATATACAAGTACTGCTCTTTGTGTCTACAGGTGCCGTTGTAACAAACTGTTCATCTTCGAGATGAATCGTTATCCATCCATCCATCCATCCATCCATCCATCCATCCATCCATCCATATCCTCTCTC